TTCACCGACACAAGTTCGCTTTCTGCAATGCAACACCAATCTGATCCTGTGACAATGAGAGCCTTTTCTTGGCTGTGGCCATTTTGTCCATAAATGGTGACTTTAACTAAGTCAACATTAGTGCTAATGGAGCAAATGATGCTTCCCATTAACGTCTTCTTTGGCTTGTCATGGTACGATGCTGCTTTCTTGCCAGAGTTTCTGCACACTTTTGCAAAATGGTTCGATTTACCACATGATTTGCATTTCTCCCTTTTTGCTGGGCAAGTGGCTCTGTCTCGGTGTTTCGGGTAACCACACTGGTTACACATCTCAGTTTCTTTCTCTCTATCATTTCGAGAGCAGCTAGTCTCTGGACTGTGCAGCTCTTCTGCTTCTGAACTGCCTCAGTTTATTTGGGTTCCTTTCCATTTCTCTGTGGATTCAGTTCACCCCAGAACTAGCAGAATATGTGAGCTGGGCCTCTGTCTCTGTGATATTTTCGTCTGCTTCCAGAATCTTTCGTGCCTTTTCTACAGAAAGGTCAGGATCTCTCGTCTTGCAGCTTCCTTTTCGGTGCAGAACACAAGTTTAGACAGAATGTGGTCGGTAATGGCTGCTTGTGCACATTGATTACAGAACCCTTTATCAAAGTTACATTCTTTTACCTTTTCCACTACTTCACTATGGAATTTCGGAATAGACTGGTGAGGCTTTTGATGTAAGTGATGAAATTGGTGTCGAGATGTCCACGCAGATTTTATTGCCTTGATTAGGTTTGAAGTAATAGCCACAACTTCTTTAATGTATTGTTGCTTGGCTGCAGGGAGTTGTAGTCGAAGAGCATCTACACGGTTGAATGTAGATGGTTTCATGGCGGACTGGATCGCAATTTGCTGCGCTTCCCAATCTAACTCTGTGAGTTCGGCTTCCTTGGCGAAAGCAAGAAAGGATCGTTGCCAGCTCCTAAGATCAATGCTAGAGAAGGAGTCCATATCTAACTTTTCTGGACATAGTGTTTTCAGTAATGACCAGTTTACCTTCTAAGCACGAGCATCTGGTAGGTTGCTCGGTTCAAGGATAGAGATGATGTCCAGGACGGTGATAGGATAGGATGATGTTTATTACTGGACATGCTCTCTATCCCTGAGCCGGTTGCTCTGCTGCTGGACTGTCGCCTGCGTTTGCTGTGCCTGTTGGGTGATTGATCAGCTAGCATCTGCAGTAGCGTACGTCGTTCTGCTGTGGCACTGAATGTGGCTGTTCGCCAGTAGCACTATCAGCACTCATGTCCATCTGCATTCTTTCTTGTGCGTTTTCTCGAGCTGCCATCGTATGAACAATAGCAATGCACGTATACAATACGTTTGGCCGCCTTTATTACACGTGGTACTGGTAACACAGTTCCATCACCCGGTCTCCGTTCACTCAAGCTTGCTGGTTCGAAGATAATTATATCAAATCTCCTCTGCCTTGCAGTGTCATGTTATATATCTCATGTTCTTGAGACATTAGAATAAAGATTCCAACGACTATCTTACTTGTTACATTATAGGGCATAGATTATCATATAACAACTTGTGTTGTGACAACAATACTCAATAGGTGATTTATATGCTCTGCGACGTCTGGCACTGCGTCTTATGTCTAGAGTCCCGGCAAAAGGTTGAAAGCTTGCTTTGTCGCTCAGTGACGTCACAGTCTCGGCTTTACAAAATTTAATTAATTTTGTTTTTAATAAGGTTAGGGTTATTTTTTAGAGTTAGGGTTAGGGTCACAATGTCAATCATCTTAAAACAGGAGTTTGAGTCCGTACGGACGTGACGTCACTGAGCGACAAAGCAAGCTTTCAACCTCTTGCAGAGTCCCGCCCATAGATATCACAGGCACTTGAAGCGTTTCAACTGTAAACACACGCCGCCGCCATTGCGCGCACACTGACACATAAATATATATATAACACATGACAACACACAATGACACATAACAATGACACACAGGGCCGGACTAAGCGTGTGGGGGGCCCGGGGCACGCAATTGTGGGGGGGCCCTATAGTCTGTATTTTTCCTGCACTTTCATGCTTGCAAATTCAGAGAGTATTTCATCGTGTTTCAACGAATTTAAAATGTCACTTTCGATAGCGAGAATACTGAGGTTTACCAGTTGGCTCATCGTGGTTCTCATGTGATTTTTAATCAACTTGAGTTTTGAAAATGACCTTTCACCGCTACAATTCGAGACCATCAATGAAAGATAGATTCTCAGAGCAATTTCGGTATTAGGGAAAGTGTCCTTCAGCTGAACAGCAAAATTCAGTCAGAGAAACAGCATGGGAAACGCATCACTTCAACGTTACATGCTAAGAATTTTGTGGATCACAATTACGACAGTTTTGTAAATTTTAGGATACCCGTACTCTAAATGTGGGGGGCCCGGGGCACGTGCCCCTGTTGCCCCGCCCTTAATCCGCTAGTGATGACACATAAATATAACACTATATATATTTATGTGTGAGTGTGCGCGCAATGGCGGTGGCGTGTGTTTACAGTTGAAACGCTTCAAGTGCCTGTGATAGATATCCTATAACAACTATATGATATCATCACTGATCTCTATAATATATTATATTATATTATAGAGATCAGTGGATATCATAGATATAGAAGAACATCTTCTATAGACAGGGCCGGCGGAAGCAAATAAACATTGGTCAGGCCATTTAGCATCAATAACAGATGTCGACGAACAGCTGGCCGAAAGCCAGGTGCCCACGGCGCAGCCGTGGCGGGGGCGCTCTAGGGGGGTTTCCTCCTCGTCAAAGGGAGGTTTGGGGGTTCTCCCCCAAGAAATTTAAAAAATTCAAGACACCAAGATGCCTTTTTAGAGCTTAAAAATACTTTTCAAAACTCTAACAAATATATATTTATACTTCAGTATAGGCCTAATTATTTCGGCATCTGCCAATTTACATGTCAAATTTAATGCGTGCATGTGCACGCACACGTGCGGGCATGCGTGCATGTGCGTGTGCAGGTACACGTGTGTGCGTGCACGTAGACCAGCGTGCGTGCGTGTGCAGGTACACCTGCGTCATGCATGCGTTGTGTGTATGGTAAAAACGATTGCCGTTCATGCGATGGCGTGCGAGTGTGTGCGTGCGTGCGCTTCAAGTCGTGGTGGGGGTGGTGCACGTATACGTGCCGTGCGTGCGTGCGCTGCGTACACGTGCTACGGGTGTGTGGCAGGTACACGTGATGTGCGTGCGTGTGCACGTGCAGCGTACACGTGCGTGCGAGCGTCCCGATGCGTGCGTATGACACATACACGTGCGCGCGTGCGGTGTGCACGTACACCTGGCGTGCATGCGTGCGTGCCTGCATGTGAACGTACATGCGTGCCTGCGTGCGTGTTAGTGGACTGTGCCGCGTGTTCACGTTACACGTGCGTGCGGTTCGGTGCAGGACACGTACGGTGCCATCCGTGCATGCATGTATGTGCCACGTAGACGTTGCGTGCGTGCGTGCGTGCGTCGCGTGCGCGATGACGTACACGTGGTGCTGCATGGATTCGTGTTGCACGTACACGTGTTGCGTTGGTGCTGACGTACAAGTGAGTGCATTGAGTGCTGTTGCGTGCGTGCCGTGACGATGCGTGTGTACGTACACGATGCGTGCGTGCGTGAGTTGTGTGTTATTCGAACAATATCACGATCTGCTTGCTGCACCGTTAAACTGCGCATGTGGAGATGACTTGTCAATGTTTATAAACATAAACAACGTCATGTAGCTAGTCTTTATATATGCGTGTAGTAATAAACTACATTGGTGATGTTCAGATCATTACTTGCTCGGGTGATGTGCCACATAGATTGTAGTCCGGCCTGTTGATAAACGAATAATGTCGTGCTTGAGAAAAAAATAACATGATCGGAAAAATTCATTGCGGTCCGGCCATGGCCGGACTGGCTCCGCCGGCCCTGAAATTTAGACATAGCAGACATATGCCCTGGAAATAGTATATATCAATGGGTGTTGCTATCCCACGGGCGTGGAGGGAGGTCACGTGATAACGTTGACGATGACGTTCAAAACGTTAACCCTAACGGTAACACTCACTACAACACGCCAACACTAACTATATATGTGTCGCCGCGCTATATATAGGCATTGTGATCCACAAAAATTAATCTATGGTGTGGGGACAGATATCATGATGCAAAAACCCTAACCCTAACCCTAATCCTAACCCTAACCCTAATCCTAACCCTAACCCTAACCCTAACCCTAACCCTGACCCTAACCCTAATCCTAACACTATCCCAACACTAGTGCTGCCACATTGCGGTCACCTCCCTCCACGCCGGCCCGTGGGATAGCATTACCCTATCGGGGTTTCCTCGACTAGTGGCGCCACCTCTTGGGCGTACAAAAAATAAACATCATTTTAACGTTTTGCAAATATATACAATACATAGTTACGTTCATAGAAATATTTAGATTCACCTATATATTTTTAGTAACCAATTTTTAGTAAATATATAGCCTATTAGTATTATTTCTGTGGTTATCCCCTTCCCCCATCAAAGGGTACGATACCCTCCCCTATTCCTGATTAGCTGTTAACCAGAGACTTGTATCACTTCCATGAAGTACTCGCGGACGTACACTATTAATACGAATAATGCCTTTATTTACGTATTGTACGTCTATTTATGAAAAGAGTGAGCCAATCTATGGGTGAATGTAACCAAAGGGTAATTTTGAGGTCAGTGTGGTGACGCAGATGCAATTTATGTATTACGCCGCACAGATTGCGCGTAGTTTTCGTTAGAATTACTTTAAAGTAAATTAATAGCAGAAATATGAAATAAAACTGTATTTGGTGGTTGAGATAAAGTTTTTGGTATTTTGGAATCATAAACACATGGTTATTTACTAATTTACTGGGACTACTTTTGTGACCCAGCGCAACACCCCCGCGTAAGCTCTTAGTCTTACCATATATATAAGCACGAGTGCAAATGCATCCATCTTTCTCACACCGATAGATTGTGCTACGCGCTCGTCGTTGTGTGTAACTAAGATTTTAGTCACCACAACACGGCTTATTTAAAGATATATTTATAAAAATACAAAAAAAATAAAAACATAAAAATATAAAAAGCTATAAAACGGACCAGTGTGAGGCAGCGTGAAACTGGTAAGTTGTGATTTAGCTATTGCAGTAAACTGTAAAGTGTCTAAACCATCGTGGCTGTTCGAGTTCGAATCGACGAATGTAGTAGTAGTACATCATAGATCGTCACATCAAAAGCAAGTCTAATTAACCTAGTTAATTTAAAATACACACTACGATAAACTCGAGCGTGTGACTAGGTAGTGTTAGAAATGTTGAAAGTAGTCGAGTTACGATAGTGAGAACAATCTGGTCATCTATACAACGACACTTGTGCAGCTGCGTGGCCCGTGGGGCCGACGAGTTTTTTCATTGACAATAATGGCCGACCCACATAAGAAAACCACCTTACAGTACATAAATGTTGTTTATATGTCACTGTGTAGTAGTAATCGTCATCATAACATTGCTAAGTGATATTCCTGTAGTCTTAACAGCCCAACTTGTGCTCGCCCACTCACAGCTGCTAGTGTATGTACAAGTGGAATTACTAGTTTATCGGGTATTTTCCTTGCCCCACTCCAATGCTGTCCCGTGTTCAGCACGTGCACACAACTACACGAGGTGCGGCCATGAATATATGACATTCAGGGTTCGACACTAACGTTAGTGCGAGACTAGTAAAAAATAAGAAGGACTAGTAAATGCCCCATAGGCATAGTCGTTAGTCCTGTGGACTAGTTATTTTACCCGTCCTTCACCATCCCAATTTACTATCCTCCCATCGATTTTACTATAGTCCTCGGCAGCAGCTTCTCTCAACCAAGATCCAATATATATATGCTATATATAACTCATTGCCATCAACAAGTTTTCCCTGTTAGACGCGCTAGTACAAGAAGTAGACGCTAGCATGCTCTGCACGCTAGACCCTATGACAGTACAAATATTGTTAAACAATGGGGCCACGAACCAGTCTACTGATCATCGCTTGACAGTAGCTGTTGACATAGAACAAACAGTCTGATTGTATAAATGACACAACTAATCAGTTATACGCTCTCATGGCGAGGTATTTACATCGCAACCACATCGCATGCGTGTTTCACTTGAAGCAGTCGATACAAAGTTATCTATAGTAGTGATACAAGTAGTGAAGCATAGTAGTAGGCACATCCTTATCCAATACTAACATCAAGGTTGTTATGTGGAAGTATTTGGATGGAGCTCGTCCTCCACCTCCCAAACGTAAGTCGCAGGAGGAGAAATTAGATGGCAAGCATGTATATGAAAAGACCAAAAGGATGCGTACGTTCCAGCCAGCGTGGAAATCGTCATACCCGTGGCTAGAGTATGACCCGGCCAAGTGTATGGCCTGTGGTGCAGGCTGTATGTCTGGTAGTTTTTCCCCCGGCACTACAAACTATCGTTTGGAAACTATTAAAGCGCATGATGCTTCCGAGGGGCAGATAAATATCATAGCAAAAAGAAATGCAAGGACCATGTCTGTTCACGAAACAGTGGGGGCAAAAACACTAACTTTAATGAACAAGGCCATAATAGCAAAACTGAATATCCTAATTAGAAATGCACATGCATTGGAAAAAACGGCAGGCCCTACACCGATTACGTCAAGCTGTGCCAGCTTGACAAGACCAAGGGGTTAGATGTCGGCAGCACTTACCTCACCGACAAGGCCTGCCAAAGGTTCAATACGGCGATAGCCGATACAAGGCGCCGGGAACAACATTTGTTTTCTTATGATCCATATCAAAGTTACGTATATTTTATACAAAGTCTTTTAGAAAATCTTTCTGGGGGAGACCCCTTGTACCCTAGGAAAGACCCCCTGTACCCCCTAGCAGAAGGGGGACTCCACCCTCCTACCCCTCGGCAAATCACAATGCTCGTCACTTTGTGCTTATAGTAAGAGTCCTTCGGCAGGACTAGTAGAATCTGGGAAGGACTAGTACATTTTTTCTTTTACTAGTCCTGTGGACCAATGAACTAAAATGGTTAGTATCTAACCCTGACACATGCGTCTAAACAGAGGAATTGTTCCGACCTGTGATTGGAGGATAAAAATAGAATTCGTGACGTTTCGTTTCACCGGTCATCGCCGCGCGTGTATTAGCCTATGAGACATGCGTCTAAACAGAGAAATTGCTCCGACCTGTGATTGGAGGATAAAAATAGAATTCGTGACGTTTCGTTTCACCGGTCATAGCCGCGCGTGTATTAGCCTATTAGACATGCGTCTAAACAGAGAAATTGTATTCCTGATCAATGCAACTTTATATTTAGAGGTAGCACCAACGTATTTTGCACTGACCATGTGAAAAATAGCAAGTAAACCATCCAACTGAGTGATAAATTTGCCACAGCCATAGACAGGTCTGACATTTTTATCAAATGATTAAATGTCATCTGTATTGTCATACGAAGTTAGCTCATCCAGCAAGCTGTTAGAAATCCATTTGAGCACTGCACTCGATAATCTGAGCATGATCATTGCTTTCGACATGAGTCATCTTGTAAGAATCCCTTTAAGTTTAGCTTTTTTGTTTCTGTCATTCCGTATTTGAATTCTCTCCCTTTCTCTTTAGTTAATTGTAAATTTGAGGCTTTTTCTAATGCACTCGGCAGTGTTGATCCGTCTCTTTCCGTTTTCGATATAGTCCATTGGACTTTACAGACTAATATTTATGAGATTATCATCTTGCTTCAGGTATTAATGAGTTGCTGTTACGTGTGATTTTTGAACGTTGGCCAAACAAGTGTGAAATATTTCAAACAAGTTTATATTGTTATAATTCTCATAGAAAGATTAAAGTATGTTCCAGTCGTGAAGCATTTGTCCTTACTTTGCAGATAAAAACGACAAAATGCAGCAACAGCAAGGACCTAGCTACCCGATGGCGTCACTCTACGTTGGTGACCTTGCGCCTGATGTCACAGAAGCTATGCTGTTTGAGAAGTTCTCAACAGCAGGGCCAGTGCTGTCCATCAGAGTGTGTCGGGATATGATCACCCGCCGGTCTCTCGGCTATGCCTATGTCAACTTCCAACAGCCTGCCGATGGTATGACTGCTGCTTATGCTTCTTGATAAATTGTCTCCTATTATTTAATGATGTTGCTCTCGAGACAGAACTGTCACAGAAGGATTTTATATGTGCGTTGATGCCATCTTTTAGAGTTTATACCAATATTGGCTTTAACCTGGCAGTTTTTTCTTTTCAGCGGAACGCGCTTTGGACACCATGAATTTTGATGTAATAAAGGGCAAGCCAATCAGAATCATGTGGTCTCAGCGTGACCCATCACTGCGTCGATCTGGACTTGGTAACATTTTCATTAAGAACCTGGATAAAAGTATTGACAACAAAGCCATGTATGACACATTTTCTGCCTTCGGAAACATCCTATCCTGCAAGGTATGTTCTTTATTTGTTCGTATACAATTACAGTTATTGGGAAGATGGTGAAATTCTTGTTAGAAGTCCTCGCGATATCTAACCCATTTTTACTAGTTTTTCGTTTTAGTTAAATTAATAAGATCAATTAAAGCATGTGAATAAAACTTTGTTAGCAATACTATATATGTGCAGTAGAATACACACATCACGGATGGATTTTTTGCATATATTACAGGAGGTATTGCTTACTATTTATGTACTATGGTGGGATTTCTGGGACAATTGAGTCGAGAGTGGCTATTAGAATCGAGACAGTAATATATGCAAAATTAATTTCAGGTGTCATGTGATCAGAATGGATCCAGGGGTTATGGATTTGTGCACTTTGAGACTGAAGAGGCAGGTCTCCAGGCCATTCAGAAAGTCAACGGCATGTTACTTAATGGCCAGAAAGTGTATGTACTAATGCTATTGAAGTGTGACTATATTGAAGCAGTAATTGAGGTAGTCACTGATAGTTATGGACTACAGTGTGATCATTCTGCCTTTGAACATCTCTCACTGAGAAGGTTCTTTGAAATTGTGTCTTATCTTCCTTCTCTGAAAAGTTGGGATTAAATATTGACAATAGACATTGGAAGTGTCATTTACAAATGACTCCTAGCTATATTGACGTGGAATTGGTAAATTGGTATTTATAGAATTATTACTGATGTATTATCGTTATATGCTTTAAGGTATGTTGGCAAGTTCATCCCGCGGCATGAGAGGTTGCGTATGCTGGGTAGCCAAGCACAGAAGTTCACAAACATCTACGTCAAGAACATCGGCGATGAGAGTGACGACCAGAAGCTGTGTGAGATGTTCGGCAAGTACGGCAAGATCACCAGCCACAAGGTGATGTTTGATGACAGCACTGGCAAGAGCAAGGGCTTCGGCTTTGTTGCTTTTGAGACCCACGAAGCGGCAGACCAGGTGAGCACGATTCGCATTGAGAGACTGAAATTACTATGCGTATTACTCGGCGAATAAAAGAAATATGGTAAACCACTCTGGTTCTCAAACTGAGTGACCCTGCAAGCATTTCTTTTTGCTTGCATGGTAATAACCTGTTTTTGCTTTTGCAACTTTTATCTATGCTTTTGGAATTTGAGCCATAAGCTGCCTGTTTGCCCCCTAATGAGTGCTTATTGCTGAAATGGCCTTCAACTATAAGAACAATCTAAAAGTGTACTATATGAACTAGGAACTATGTGAAGTATAATAGGAATGCTTTCTATGAAGCCAATGCAGGATTCTTTTTTCACAGTAAATTGCTGAAATGTTCGTTTACTTACCTTTGTTGTAGTTATCTGTAATAAATAAAATAAAAGCAAGATGTCATAAGTTGAGCGGGGAAATTAGAAAATTTGACTGAGGTTTGTTCCAGCATACTGAACATTTTCTGTATTTATGTACTAGGCTGTGACGGCAATGAATGGAAAGGAAGTTAGTGGAAAGGTCCTCTACGTCGGGCGTGCACAGAAGAAGGGCGAGCGGCAGGCAGAGCTTAAGAGCAAGTTTGAGCAGATCAAGATGGAGCGAATGAGTCGTTACCAGGGTGTGAACCTTTACGTAAAGAACCTGGATGATGCCATTGATGATGAACGTCTGCGTAAAGAGTTTGCTCCCTACGGAACCATCACCAGTGCTCGGGTATGTTACACGTGTAATTGAACCTGTTTAAAGTAGTGCTGTAATATATAGTGAATCTGCATATATACTAGGTACATATAAAAAACCTATATAATACGTACATGTGTCAATATCTCGACTATATTTATACTAGTATATTTTTAGAGTATACTGACACTGTCTAATTGTGCAAAGTCAATATAGTTTTAAAACGGGGCTTCATGTCTGTTTTTTGTAAGCTTTACATGTTGGGAAGGTCATTTTGTCTCTGCTTCTCTACTGTACATTGTACGAGACTACTAGAGTAGAGGGGCACTTTTTGTGTAGCAGTAGGCAAAAACAATCCTGTTACCCAAATTATGTTTTTTGTTTGGTTTCGTGTAAAATCTTTGCAGTAGTACTAGTCATCTAAATTTTTGTAAGAAAATTCTCATATAGATATGTTATCAATATATTTAATTGTCCTAAAACAAATTCATAATATGTAGTTTCAAATCAACATATCACGATTCATCTTGTCCTTTTGATTTTTTATTATAAATTTATTCTCAGATTTAGGGTTAGGAATCATTTTAATTACATAGGAAGATGATTAGAATTTAGTATAAACTGATTAAAGACTTATTTAATTCTACAGTTGAGGTTTAGATTTGAGTGTGATTGAGTTTAACCTAACATACAGCTGTGCAATGATTGCCACTTGTCAATACTTATTTATTCTTGGCAAATTATGTGTGATTTTTGGAGGTGTTTGCGAGGTTGTCAACCTATTTGTTGCTCACTGTACATGAATGAACCTATCCGCTCTCAGCAGGGTGGAAGTTGTTACCGTAAGTAGGTCAAACAAACTTGTGTGCAGCCATTGACCTGAATGTAAACCTAATGTATTGACCCCCAATGACACCCTGGGGACATGTACTGTTGGTGTCATGTCTTCCTCCTTGTAAATTGGGAGAGCAACTGTGTTACATTTTGCCTGTTGCACATAGAATTGTTCTTGAGGCAAAAGGTTTTGCAGACAATTTATTGTTACTTGTAAACGAGGTCAGTAACATTTACTGTAGTTTTCTTAGGCGCTACTATGTTTTGCATACCAGTACGGTTTGGCATGTTATACAGAGTAGTCAGTTGCATTATTCATATCATGTTGTATTATTATTATTTATTATTATTATTATTATTATTATTAGTGTTATTGTTATGTATTATTTGCATAATGAATTGAGAGTAGGAATTTCTGTTGTGTAGCATCGCATTTTTTGCATTTAGGTTTAATTAAGACTGCGGATTACTTCAATCTATTCTAGTCCTCACTAAAGTATAAAAGTATAAAAATGTCAAGGTACTATAGCGATGCTTCTACCTTGCACAGTTTATAAAAGTATTTAATATAGACATTAACCTACTTGGTCCATTGTTGTCCATTTGGCCCCCCTTGCTGCTCTCATGCACAATTTGTACATTCTAACTCGTCTGTTTCTTGTTTGAACATCCAAAATGAGACTACGTGTCCACATACCTCACACACTGTCACAGCTTTTGCTACCACTTTGCATTCAGTAATTGTATCCCCCGCGACGAAGTCGGCGGGGATACTATGGTTTCATGTCTCCCCAGCTGCCGCCGCTGCCGCTCGGTCCGCCGCAGAGAATTTCCCTTCCGCTCTATAACTCGACCCCTAATTGACCTAGCGTGACCAAACTTGGTATACTTACACATCTTGGGGAGAAGGTGTGCGGAGTACCAAAACCAGGTCACTGCGACCTTTATTTGACCTTTACCTTGACCTTGATCATATTTCCCTTCCTCTCTCTAACTCGGCCCCTAATTGACCTAGCGCTACCAAACTTGGTATACTTACACATCTTGGGGAGAACGTGAGCAGCGTACCAATACCAGGTCACTGCGACCTTTATTTGACCTTTACTTTGACCTTGATCATATTTCCCTTTCGCTCTCTAACTCGTCCCCTAATTGACCTAGCGCTACCAAAACCAGGTCACTACGACATTTATTTGACCTTTACCTTGACCTTGATCATATTTGCCTTCCGCTCTATAACTCGGCCCCTAATTGACCTAGCGCTACCAAAACCAGGTCACTACGACATTTATTTGACCTTTACCTTGACCTTGATCATATTTCCCTTCCGCTCTATAACTCGGGCCCTAATTGACGTAGCGCTACCAAACTTGGTATACTTACACATCTTGGGGAGAACACGGGGGATACATGTAGTTGGCGACAACTGCCCTTTCTAGTTATTATTATTTTATTGGTTATTGATTTAAATGTTACATGTGTATGTACAGGCTAGAGGTGGGACGAGGTGGTGCTATTAATTTAATTCTCAACTTGTGGACTTTCCTTCATAGATGCTAGGAGCAGTACTGTATGTTATATAATGTGTTGAATCTTAGGAATGTCTGTAAGAATAGAACCTATGAATATTGATGAATATTGTGGGAACACTTCACATTTGTTGTTCCTAGTAATACTCGCTCATTGGGCAAACTGTTAGAAAACTAGTAATAATTGTTTATGCATATTTTTCTAATACCTAATTTCCTGTCTTCTCTATCAGGTTATGACAACAGAGGATGGGCGCTCTAAGGGATTCGGCTTCGTATGCTTTAGTTGTCCAAACGAGGCGACGAAGGCTGTGACCGAGATGAATGGACGCATTATCATCTCTAAGCCCTTATATGTGGCACTGGCTCAGCGCAAGGAGGATCGCAAGGCCCATTTGGCTTCTCAGTACATGCAGCGTTTGTCAGGCCTGCGCATCTCTGTAAGTTCGACATGCTCGTGTTTAGTAACAGCAACAAAAAATGAAATGGTTGATGTAGATAGCATATCGAAATCACGTATGATGAGCAAGCAGTTGTATCTACTAACAGACCTATGTAACTATGCTCATCTCGAATTCTCAATACACCTAAATGCACCAGTGCTGGGCATTTGAATTGGACACAAAAATTGTCACCTTGCATATCTTATGAAGTGCAGATTATTAGTAGTGTGTCTGAGCATGCTAAACCTGCTATACAAACGTTTAACTTTAGCGTAAATACGAAATGTTTGTTGCTGTTCAGGTCTAAGAAATTACTGGATGAATGGTAACTTCGTTAAATTTTATAGCAGTTGTGTATGTAATCCACTCATATGAATTTACTATGGGATAATTGATTTCATTTCAACCCTGTGTGGTATTTGTGTTGCAGGGACAACCGATGAACACTATGTTCCAGCAGGGAGCTGCGGCCAGCTATTTCGTGCCAACCATGCCCCAGCAGCCACAGCGTAGTTACTTCCCTGGTCAGATGGCCCAGGTACGGGCCAGTCCCAGGTGGCCAACCCAGCCTCAGCTTGCTCGGCCTGCCACTCAGCCTGCTGGTAGGTTCTCGTTCTATCCAACAAATAGTCAGAATGTGTTTAGTACATTAATACCCTGCACACATAAGTAATGTGTTCCAGAAAACATGTATGGATAAATCTGGCCTGCAGAAATATCAAAATTTTGCAGTGAAAATCAAATTCTGTATGTCTGGATAAAAATGAACTGCATCAAACTATCTGCACAATCCCAACTCGCATTTTGTATCCATAATGATGATTGATCAAAAATCGGTCAGTTAACATCTAGTGGTAGTCTTACAAAAAAGAGTTGGGTTAATTTAACACGTGATCATTGACCGTCACATGTTTTTATTGTTATTTATCTTATTAAATTACAAAAGAATATTTATTTTCCTCAATAGGCAAGGTTGATAATACATGTTAATTTTAAGGAAATGCACTTGTACACAGACAACAAAATTTGCTTTTCCGACGAGTTGCGTACTGGGTCTTGCAAGTCAGGCAGCCTATTTCAGCAGCCCTGTGTACAGTTATGTTATCTGCGTATTTGTAACACGAGGTATTTCTGGAAAATTAATAATAGTAGCAAGAGTAGTCTGATTGTTTGAGGATATCAGCCTTCCAGAGTGCAGGCGTCGTGCAGTGTTACGTAGGCTTCTTATCATGTTCATTCGTTTTTGCGTCACGTCATTGCAGGGTTCCAGGCAATGCCAAACACCGGCTTCCGTGGTGGGCAGCGTGGCGCAGCCCCGGTGGGCATGCGACCGACCGGCGCGGGCGTGACTTCTCGCCCCATCACCGGCCAGCAGCCGAATGCCGGCGGTCAGCGTGTACCCGTCGCATCCGCCGCGCAGCCGGCGAGGATGGGCGCCATGGCGCAGGGAGCCGCACAGGCACGTCCGAGCTACAAGTACACGTCTACTGCTCGCAATGCGCAGGCAGTCCCCGGCACTCAGCCGCAGCTGAATCCGGTAAGTGGAGTGGGAGGTGTTGGTTGGGTAGATGGTGTGCCTCGATAAATCATATATATCGTTAAATTTGTAGCTGTTTAACTTAGGCATGGCTCTTTCTTATATGAAAAGCAACCACCTGGAACAGTTGGGTGCTTGCCACTCTTGATGAGAACAATCTTGCCATGTCAGTGCATACATGTGATGTATGTTGAGGTTCCAAGTTATCGTGAAAATTATATTTGTCATGTCTTCACGATCAATGAAACATGTGCAAGCAGCTTGGCTTGATGAGTGACTGTGTTGAAACATCTTAGAAATGTGTTATGTCAAGTTCTTTTTGAAACAGTTATAATTGTGCTACATCACATTTTTGTAACAAACGTAACCCTACCGCAAAACCGTCCAATTTTGTTGAGGTGAGAAGAGTGGTAATCTCAGTTATTTCATGTATTCTCTTGCTTGCGTTTTTACAGGGCGCACCTGCGCAGGCTGCCGTACACATCCCTGGACAAGAGCCGCTGACCTCGTCCATGCTCGCCGCTGCACCTCTGCGGGAGCAGAAGCAGATGCTGGGTGAACGCCTCTTCCCTATCATCCAAACAACCCACAGTGAGCTAGCTGGAAAGATCACAGGTAAGATGCATTCACTTGTAGTGGTAATGTTTTCCTTGCACTGTTGTGCAATGGGGTGGTATTGTGGTTTTTCATCTATGCATTTTTGTTGGTATGATGACAGCCACTGGTAACATATAGTGTACTGTATAACTTTACAGTAGTGGGTGTTTAAAGCATCTTAGTGTGCACTATCTACTGGCTTTTGCCTAGTTAATGTTCTATGGTACTAAATGTAGATACAAGACTTGTCATTTATGGGTGTGGCTGTTCGCTGGAAACCAATGCAATAGAATTTGCCCAAACTGCCAAATGCATTTCCTACATCTCACAGCTAGAAGAAGGTGCTGTTTCCACAGGAACTTGGTTTGATGATTGTTAATAAAAGTCCCAGTGTTATGTGCAAGGAACAAGACATGACATTGATATTAAAGTGCTGATTTACTAGTGGAGACTACTGGGTCCTCTGAGCAATGTGCATTTTCCATTTTCATTACAGGCATGTTGCTTGAGATTGACAACAGTGAGCTGCTGCACATGCTGGAGGATAATGAGGCACTCGCTGCTAAGGTATGATTGCAACATGAAATCTGAAGTTTGTAATAGAGTCGGTTCCTTTTATAGCTTTGCTATATGGCATAATACAGAATGTCATGAAGTAAAGTTTCCATGGTAAATTCTCTTGAGTCCACGTAAATCTGTCTGATATAGGGCACAGCTGCAAAGATGTTACATGATAGCAAAATGTTTCGTTTTTGTGGTGTTCAGCAATTTCAGTTTTGAAGGCTGCTATTAAAGACCGAGCATAAATATTCTGTGATAAAAGAACGTGTTTGTCACTATAAAACATTTCAATAATTTGCTTGCTATGCTGTAGTAACATAGTGGCAGTCAGTTGTTTACCTAGGAAATTGTGTTTTTCCTGAAATTTAGTCATCAGGTGGACACTGTCCCATATTTTTTATGAAAAAACTTTGATAATACAAGCATTGTGAAGCTGAAATAGCAACTGTTTCCATACTTTTCCAGACTGTTTATTACTTGACACAAGTCCCACTATGGTTTGTGTCGTTCATATTGCTATATTGGCTTATGTACATTGTGGTTCGAGTTAGTTAGGTAGGTAGGTAGTTGGTTCGAGTAGTTGGTAGGTAGGTAGTTCGAGTTAGGTAGTTGCAGTTCGAGAATGATGTGGTTCATTCCCTTCTTTACGGTTGTGGTGTTTAAACTTTGTTAATAATGGTTTTCTTTGTTTAGGTTGAGGAAGCTGTTGCTGTGCTGCAGGCCCATCAGGCCAAGGAGCAGGCTAGCAAGAAGACTAGCGAGCCCTAAGCACACACTGCTGTCAGATCCACGGCTCCACTGGTACGACATCCACATACCTAGTCTCGATGAATGTACATGTACACAAGTACCCACCAGACCGGCAGTTGTTAGTTGAAGCACCCACATGACGTCAGTGTGTCTAGGCTGCTGAAACCTTTTCAGTCAAGATGATGACTGAAAAGATGATGGTTGATGACTAACTTGATAGAAAGCATGGTGCTAAGCATAGCAATTGCTGAAATCGACTGTCAAATTAGCATTTTGGAAGCTTTGTACATTCATTTGCAAGTCATTATTTTCTCGATCACGATGTGTGAAGGTGGACACTAGAAAGGCAGGGATTCTAGTTGTGCGATAAAAAAATCGTAAAATTCGTATAGAGTTTTTATCGTTTATGATGGTGTAAAAGCTGCATTTTCAGTACAATTATTATTATTGTCATTATTATTAATATTTGAGATTCTCTGTTTGGCCAACATTTTTCAGCTGGGTTATCAGCAGGTTTTGCACACACTGCCAGTTTGATGTAGAATGGCAGAATTTGTGGGCTGTACCCAAGATGATAGTTGTAATGGCATCACAGAAATGCAGTCTTTTTCTCACCAACTGAGCAAGTGGCACATCTATCAGTAAAACTAGAAATGGAAAAAAATATGTAAAAAGAAAATTTTATATTGAGTTTGAGACTAGATTTGTGGATGTCCAAAAAATAATGCAGTGTGTTTGAAAAAAGTTCCCTCTAAAAAGAAAAAGTGAAAAATTACAGGAAAATGTACTCATTTGAAAGAAACTAAGTTTGTGACCAGCAATACATTGTTGCTGAGAAACACGGATTGTATGTGTTGTATTAAATGTAGTAGGGATAAAAAATGGAAAAAAATGGCAAAATTAGTGAAAAATATATAATTGTACCCTATATTTTAAAAACTAATGCAGTGTGTGACCTCGGAAGGGTCAGGAAAGGCCTGGTATCAGGACTGAAAAGGTGTCTGTACATCTAAAACTCGTTTGGTTCAGTGTTACAGATGCAGTGTGTTTCATATCAGAGATGGCACAACCAACATTGTTCATACGTTGGTTTGACCTGTTATAAAAATTGCAAAATCTGTGTAAAACTAACCATGGTTCTGGTTACTAAAACACTGTAGCTGAACAGTCCAGCAAGCTTGATGACTCGACGTGCGTCGATGATTAATAGCTCATAGAGATATGTTCAGACAGTGGCATAGTTATTGAGCCTTTGGTACAGGTGTATGGTAATGGACTTCGTTCTTTTAACACTTTATTAAATACAGTGTGACCGATATTGTGAATTTATGCTTTTTCTTGTTCAAATTTAAATCCTCGCATGCAATCAATCTATTCAAAAGCAATCGTTATATTACTGATGAACATTTCCTTAGTATTAGGTGTGCGTATTTTTAACTCATCTGACATAGTCAGATGCAGCTTGTAGAATCGCATGAGCGTGCGTCCGTGCGTCAACAGTTGGGCACAAATCTAAACAGCTCGACGTACGGTCACGATATTCGGGACGTGGGTGGGTAATCCGAAAACGAGTTGGGATGTCGAAGCTGGGGGTCAAAGGTCAAAGGTCAAGAGGTGTAAAAGAAGGAAACATTCCCTCCTTAACTTAAGGTATAGGGAGGAAATGCAGAATTGCGGCACAAATCTAAATGGCTTGACCTAGGCTCGTGAAAGTCAGTGTATAGCACCATGGTAGGAAAAGCCATCACTGTGCCGAAATTGGAGGTTACAGGTCAAAGGTCAATGGGGCACAGGGCAGATCTTAGACATTTTCTGAGGACATGGTCTGACGGAGCGATTGGAAAACTTCTTTGTTTCAGCCATTTTGTTTGTATGTTATGCGCGCAATGAATGATGGGACTAACTCTAGATCACGCGAGAACAACGTGAATGCGTGATCCAATATGGCTGCGCCCACAATCGCCAGATATTTCTCGGCTCACAATGTAAACATTAATTTTCACAAGTCGTAAAAAATCGTAAGTTTTTCAGTTTGATCGTACATTCGTAGAAACATCATGGAATTCGTAAGGAATACGAAAAAATCGTAAGGGTTGGCAGGTCTGTGTACTGTCGGTGTGTTACATGTAACTTAATTATGCCACTGCCAGTGGCCACTGCAGTGCACTGCATGTGGTGGTGATAGTACGGTGTAGTTTTTGCCTGCGTTAATTAGTTACAGGTGGCAGCTCTCTATTTCAGCCTGTAGGCTTGCGTAGGTAAATGGATGAGTGCTTACCTATTCTGTCTTGCAAATAGTTGTTGCTATACTATGTACGATGGGAGCTTCCATCTTTAATCTTAAGACATTCAAACGTACGCGCCATCTCGTGGCAACTTTCATAACGATCCCAACGAACATTTCTTCGAGAAGGTTCCTGATACCATCCCAGTGTTTGAAATAAGGGCTATCCGTTTGTCCGTACTTGTCCATTTCCACGGAGGACAAGTAGATCTGTCCGGTAGCTTGTCCGCCAGACAAGCAGCTTTTTAGAGCAATTTTTCATAATTTTCTACCATCGCTGGCTGCTGCTGGGAAACCCGAGTTAACATAGTATAAAGATGGGCTGCCGGAGTGCCACCCGAATTAACATAGAGTATAAACATTTATGTGAAGTTATATAAAAACGTTACTGCCTTGCTAGCTCCACGAAACGGTCTTGCTAGGGTTAGAAGACCATCAGACAATCAGAGCGAGCGAGAGGGAGAGAGAGAGCAAGAGAGAGTGTGATCGATCGAGAGGGGGAGAGAGAGAGAGAGAGTGTGATCGATCGAGAGGGGGAGAGAGAGAGAGTGTGATCGATCGAGAGGGGGAGAAAGAGAGAGTGTGATCGATCGAGAGGGGGAGAGAGAGAGAGAGAGTGATCGAGGGAGAGAGAGAGAGCGAGAGCGAAAGAGAAAGAATGAGAGAGACAACAAGGGAGAGCGAACGCGGCGATGGGAGGGTGCTCTTGATTCGTTTGCCAGCGAGTTTAGCATCAGAACACCTGCCGTCAGGTGAGCGCTGTCGCTCTGCGGCACTTGTTAATGGAATGCTTTTTATAGAACATTTAGGAAATCACAAACAAAAAACATCATTTATAATTATAATACTTTAACAAGGTATTTACATAACAGCAATACTGTTACAAACAACAATACAACAAAAGCTTTTAAACAAATTTAATAGTGATCTATCTGGAAAGCAGTAATGATGACTATTGGTTCAAATAATGAAGTCGGTGGAAGGGCAGTTGCACCAGTATTTTACTTTTTTGCATAGTTTGGATACTGCACTATGGAAATTTCTGGTTCCACGTCTACACATTTTTTACATGGACACATTCACTCATTTAGATTACGTGCTGCTGCCACCGTTGCTTCTCAATCTTCCATCTACCAACCAACCAACCTTGCAATCAACTATAAAATACATTTATGTGCTAATTGAGAGGATCATATAGTCATCATAACTGCTCTATCATTTTAACCTTCAATTGAGAAAAAACCTATTTACACGTATTACGGGTACGCCATCATTAACGTGCGTCCAGGCGCTACTAGCCTACACACAAATTAGGCTCTATTTTAGGGCTGATGCTGCCTTCCACTTGGATTTTGCATGCAAGGTAAACATGCGCAAGTCTGCAACACTACATAAGGACATAAACCCTATTATACAGAATGTTCTATGTAGAACAATTGTAGTTTACATATATTATTAACGTGGCATTTTCTGTATAGTAGTCGCTGACAATGATTAAATACAGACGACTTAAACATGAATACGGGTAAATCAAATCGTTACATTTACGTCATTACTTTACACACTGGCCAGAATTACAGCGTACAAGACAGTATCTGTAACCTCAAAATCGTTACGTTGCTTTTTACTGATTGCCATCTTCACATGACTAATGTAGTTCTTAGAGATTCAGTACATGTTTAGATATTATTATATGCAGGTAAACAGACTCCTACAATGAAGACAAATCTATAAAACTATCCCGGGCAGTTCGGCGGTTGGTAGTGGGATTTTCTCGAATTTACACTATTAAGTACACCAACCTTTGCATCAATACAAAGCTTATTTTGAATGGTAATTCGAAATAGTATTGGTCGGAACTACTAATCTAAATTTCCATGTGCCACTGCAATTAAGTTAGAAATCCAAGCACGCATGCACGTAGACGTACTCTGGCTATGCTGCACGGTAGCATCCCATTTCGTCTACTCTCAGAATCAGCAATATTCCCATTTCGCCTACTCCCATATATACTGTAGGCCTATTTTCTATTTTTGTCAAGTTGTGTTCTCATTATTTGTACCTATGTTTTCTTCTGGTTCCTGTAGTCTATATATATGCCAATCAAAACCATATTTTATTATTTATAAATGATTATTTAGTGAACAAACCGATCGTAGACGAAATGGGAATGGGTAGATTTTGAGCGTAATGGAGCAAGCGAAATGGGTGTAGGCCAACTCGGAATTTTGCTGTAGGCGAAATGGGAATTTTGCCGTAGGCGAAATGGGAGTAGGCCACCCGGGAATAAGCCATGCTGCACATCAGACTTATGTAAGTATACTCAAATTTCAGCTCTAACAGTACAGCCCTGGGAATGCTGCCAGACAGGTTTGTGGCGGTATTTACTGAGCTATTCTTGTAAAACTACATAGGTTCACGGTCAAACCTATTATGATTTACACACTATGTGTAGCATAGATATGGATCATGACACCAGTAATGAATAAAAACAAAATAGATGTTTTTATTCACTCCTGATAGCATGGGTATACATAGTCATATGTTCTGTAGAGTACCAATATAACAGCCAATTCTCTACAGGTTTGTGACAACTACCTGGATAATTGCTAATAATAGCATATGACATTCAATTTTTTTTATAGTCTACCAGTCAGGTTTATGCTGTCGTGCAGATGAAACGTTGAAAATACGCAGTGCCTTTCATACTAAAAGGCCACCACCACGATAGTGTCAACGAAGTACGGAGCATCAATCAGCAAGCATGTGCACGAAGCTAACAGGGAACAAGCCTCTCCTGTGAGAAGCGCCCTCAATCATTCCCTCCTGTGAACATGGAAATATATACAATTTATGAGTAAGAGAGTAGTATAGTTGATAAAAATGTTAAAAAAATTTTAAGCTTGCAGTCACTTGCTGTGACCACATCAATTAAATTTTTCCGGATGATTCTGTCTGCTTTAATTAGAAAATGTATTCTCGTGTCATACAAGCATTATTCTAAAAAAGTCATACTGTTTAACGAATTCCTATAGGCGCGTTCACACTGGCGGGAATTAGCGGGATGCAAATCTCGGTTTTTGCATCGCAATCGAAATACCGAGATTTTTACAAATGTGAACGCAAAAATCTCACTTCGTATCGCGATCAGTATCGCGCTGCAAATCACACTTTTGACTGCGATTATTTGGAATTAGCGCGATTAATTGCACCGCGGCGATTGTGTGAACGCTCGCGCAAATAATCCCGGTATTTTCTATCCCATCATTCGATTCCAAGCGATCATATCAACATCCGGCAGTGAGCATGCGCAGTTCGATTAATAGAATTATACCGCTCGGCGATTAGCGAGATATTTCCGCCTGTGTGAACAACGACACAATTATCTCGGTATTTCCATCGCGATTAGCATCGCGGTTTTTCTTGTGTGTGAACACGCCTAATGAGCTTTATAGAATTGGGTTTTACATATATCTGACTCAACCAGCTATAATTATGCTCATAGGGTCTATGTCCCCCAGGGTCGATCCCTACTTCCATACCGGAACGTACCCTGGTAACTATTTGATATGGTTAGGGTTAGGGTTAGCGAGTAGGCGTAGGCGACTCCCTAGACTCGTTAGTGGAGTAGGCAACGTACGGTCCGGCATATTAGATAGTACCAGGGTACATTCCGGCAGTACTCTCGGGGACATAGACCCTCTCAGCTATAGTTATACTTGCTAAATTATAACAAACGTACCCTCCAGTTTTCATCTTCTACTTTGTCGTTGAGAATGACAATGACTTCTCCCTCTACAAATGAGAGCTCATCCTCGTTGTCTGCCTCGCAGTCATACAGTGCTTGGCACCTTTTCTGCTTTGGTGAATCAACTCTCTGTTAACAGAACATGAGAAAGTCATTTCCATAACGACAGTTTATAGATGATGCATAAGTCGCCTTACACTGTGTAATATTACAGTACAGTACACAATCTATTATCCGAAACCCTTGAGACCAGACACGTTTCGGAATTCGGAATTTTTCAGATTTCGGAATGGTGGTTCAGTACAGATATACATACCGTATATCCTGCATCTAGCCCCTGCTAAAACCCAAGTTTTCAAGAGGCCAAGTGCTGTACTGGTACAGTACAATATGTATGAGTAATGCCAAACACATTCATATTTCTGCAGTGAACCCTGTCCAGCCAAACGCGAGCTTTGGTGTGCAGACGACCTACATGAAAAAACCTTCGGTTTTTGGAGCTTTTCAGTTTTCAGAATTTCGGATAATAGATGGTGTACAGTAACATAATTAAAGCACTTGTGGAGCTGCTACCTTTATTAGTCGTGTTAGTTGATTAGGCAGACTTTGCTTCATTAATGTTGTAATTAATGGTAATTAGCCAAGCCAGTTTTGTGTGGAAATGTGCAAAAGCCCACGAATCTCCCATATTCCTCTTATCATTTCCTCACCAGCAATCTACCAGTATGTCCGAAGTCTAACTCAGTGGCGTTCTCTTTAGAACAGTCAGGATAGGATCCTGAGAATTTACATGAACGCACCCACCTCCGCATCAATGCCCCACATTTGCTTTTTATTCAGTAGATTCATTTACATTTATTTTCACGTACAATCTACGTTGCATTTCCCGTGCAATTCTCTCCCTGTGTCTAGGCTAGCACACACTGCTCGTGGACTATAACTGGTGAGCTGCCTACCTTCCTAGGAGCCGGGGTGGGTGTGGTCGGCGTGTCGGAGAGAGAGTTCCCCGTCGAGTTACGCGATGAAGATGAGACTGATGGGATGACACCGTTCAAGGTGGGCTCGCTGCTGCGGACTGGTTTCGCCGTGTCTGCTACGGTGGCTGCACCGGTTTCCCCCTCACTGCTGCTGTGCTTGTTTGTTGGAGACAAATCTGTTGCGAGAGAGCAACTCACATGAATACAACTACGGATATGTTGATCAGCGTACGAAAGAAGTAACTACTGCATGTATGGGACCCTGGAGCTGCTCTTGTATCATGACTTGAAAGTGCGAGTGCCATGCATATCAGACCCTGCAGCAGGTCTCATATCAAGATGAAGTGCATGAATTCAAGAGAGAGCAACGACATACAACTGTCAGGTGAAGTGGTAATTGAATTTTCAAATTTCCCCATTCTATGTACTATGATAATTGTGTAGATGAATCGAAATAATGTCGTCATTATAGTGTCTGGGTAATATTGCACAATTTTAATGGTGCTTTATTATGTGATAGTACATATAAGTAATATTTTGCACTATTACTTAGACCTCACTCTCTTCTATAAAACAGATGGAAGTTTAGCGAAATACCTGTTGCATTTGGAAACACTCAGAGCTTGTAGGTCTGCTAAACTACCTACAAATTATTCGATATAAACTCTAAATGTAAAGACAAGGTAAGGATGAAAATGGCTATGCATACTGAGTGGCCGAAGAGGTAGAGAGTGCGCCTTGAGACTTGGCGTTCTGCACTTTGGCTTTTCCTGAACGGCTGGTTTCTCGGTCGATAATGGTTTCAATTGCATTGATGGCTTCTCTTTTACAGGTGGTTTCAATGGAGGCTTTGTATGCATAACGGGGATGCTCACTCTATCCCCGTGTAGTCGCAGACTAACGGATGACAGCCTTTCACTGGAACATGACCAAGCAAAATTGTGAAGTAATTCCATGTCCAAGAGGAAAATGTTGCGCTAGAGATCAAGTCATCCAGCGCATGACCTGTATGCATACACCTTTTTATTAGGAATGGCATGCTAAGGTAGGAGTCATTATATCTGTCTTTGAATTGTGAGGTCGGTCTAAAATATTTCGTCCCAATGCGTCCTTATACCAATGGCGAATGGGCTGCAATTGTATGCTGCACAGTACCAGTCATATATACCTTTGATCTAAGTTACATGTCAAATTGCATTATCTGCGCTTTGACTCTGTGACTTTTTACAACTCACCGGCAGCTTTAATTTGCCTGTGAATATTTCAGGTGATATTACTCTCCCGGCATCAAAAATTGTAAACACGTATAAACCCATTTGCATTTGTGAGACTATTATTGACTGGCACTTTTGCCATTGCCCCAGCTATGCTATCCCGGGTGCACGAAAACAGTAGCACACACTTTCCAATCCAAACAGATAACTACAGAGCATCTAGAACGCTGGTATCACTTACCCGCCTTTGTTTTGGAATTCAGGAGGTGGTGGTAAAACAAATACACCTGTATCAGATATAAATAGCAATTATATTAATTAATGGCAACATGTTAGATGTGCCTTAAGTGAAACCAACTGATGCTGAGAGGGTCTATGTCCACCAGGGTACTATCGGAGGGTACCCTGGGTACGGTTCGATATATCGGAACGTACCCTGGTACTATCTAATATGCCGGACCGTACCTCGCCTAGTCCACTAATGAGTCTAGGGAGTCACCTACGCCTACTCCCTAACCCTAACCATATCAGATAGTTACCAGGGTACGTTCCGATATATCGAACCGTACCCAGGGTACCCTCCGATAGTACCCTGGGGGACATATACCCTACGAGCCCAACTGATGGCAACAATAGCAGAGCATATACATAGACGAATAGAAAGCAAAAGATGAGTTCACACTGAAGGTGAGTCTCCATTCCGAAAATTGCCTAAATAGCCTACTTCAGCAACATGAATACATTGCTTTCCACCATTTTCCCCCAATTTTTAATGTCTATTTAAACAAGAAAATAAATATATATCCCCAAGTCTTAATTAATTAGGATGAGTGAACTTGTCCATACTGGAAATGAACTGGCCACAGTTTATTATACTTCTGACTAATTATATCTGATGTTTTTGCAGTTGAGAATATGTAATAATTGAATCAATTACTATAGCTTGATGTTAAATAATTTTCCTAGTCAACTATCTAATAAGATTTGGGCAGATTTCAGCATAGCAGAAGCATAGTGTTAACGCTATAATGTTTAACATTGAATTGCAGCTTCTGAAGAGGTAAAACAAGATTTGATTACTTTATATGCAAGAAAAACATCTCTGAGATTATTCTGTTAATAATGAGCTAGGCTAGGTGTTCACCCAACAAATTTGCAATGTTAATTAGGTCTTTTCAAGCCTAGAACATATATGCTGTGGCTTACATGTGCCCACATAATAACTTTCCACAGCTTGTACGTATGTTGGTAGTAGATTGGTTTATTAGATCTGTATTCAAATTTCAGACAAATATGAATTTAGATTGCATCGTATATAGCTGAGTAACTCTGATCTATGATAATGTGATGACATAGGGCTATAAGGCCATCCAACACACACTTTACTAGGTAGGTATGCAGGTACCCTGAGAGATGTTTGACACTTCTTACCTGTCTGAGCAACGGAAGCACGTGAGGACACTGCCGGCGGGGGTGGCAGCTCTGGGGAGGATGATGGGTTGGGGTCAGATGTTGAGCGGTGGTACTTTTTTGATTCTCCATTGTTTGCCTTGCATGCTTTTGGAAGATCTGGCGGCTTTGGTGCGCGCTTGCGAAGGCTACCCTGTGATGACAAGATCGCACCTGCAAGCAAAAACAATGCACTAACACTGAAGTTCTTTCAAAGTTGAGAAATGAGTGAAATATGAGACTCAGTAAAATTATTTTCTCGTTGCAGTGTTTATAAAGCTGCTACTGTTCAACCATCCCATCTATAATACCACTTGCTGGGATGATCATAACACATGGTGAAACACGCAAACCAAGTATACGGGAAATATACCTCCGGGTTTGCTCTTCGCGGGTGGTGGTGGAGGTGGTCCCATTATGTTCCTCTGAGATAGTGGCGAGGTTTTGTCAGCACTGCCAGGCAGACAGGGAGGATGGATTGACCGGCGCCGACTACCTGGCGAGTCATCGATCATGAAGCGCCGGCTCCCCCTATCAGGAGTCGTCTGAAATCAAACGTTCACACAACACATGTTGTCATACAAGGCAACAATAAAAATAAGTTTGATAGCGATGTTTCGATGCGATTTACTTCACTTCCATTTGCTCTGAATGCAGCTCTTAACGAAGTACGGCAGTTTGCCATTGTGATGTACGATTTATACATACAGTTGTGAAAGCTTTCTATATGCATAGCAAGGTAGAGCCAAATGCTAATGATAACTAGCAGTGTGTTTTACCCTGTCATCCAGTTCATCATCACTGAAGTCCACTTGGTCTGATATCTGGTCCTCGTGGATGAGTCCCCAATCAATATTTATGTTCTCAAACTGCTCTTTCTTCCCTGACATCGCAAACTGCAGCTACAACAACAAAGGAATTATACTGCATTACAACATGATCGGGCAAGTGAAAATTGTTCGTATTAAGTTTACTGCAGGGAAAAAAAACATCACAAAATTGCTAGGAAATACAAGATAATTAAATTACGAGATGAATTTTAAATTATTACTGATGTGATAGGTTTGATAACTGATCTGTTGTCGTTATCATGCCTTATTTTTTGTTGCCTGCACTTGTCATCAGATGACATCCATCCAAACGCTAATGCGTCACTAAAATATATCTATTTATCTCATAGTCATATTATCTTATATTATACAATGAATTACAATGGTGTCACTTGAAGATCACTAAGAAAATTTGCCATTGGTCCTAGAAAAGGCGGGCTCACACACACACAGTGTAATGATGGCGCCATGCTTTAATGAGAATGCTCGCATACCAGCTCCTCACAAATTCGGTAGCCCTTCTCTCTTGCTATATCTAATGGGGTCCTGCCCTCTCGGTTTTCTGCATTCCACTTGGCTCCCGATCGTAGCAGCAACCGCATGCACTCAGATTGGTTGAAGCGTACGCTGACATGCAATGCTGTGTCACCTTCCATGTTCTGCTTTTCCAAGTTTTTACTGTGTTCGCAAACACAAGAACGAGTGCAAGTTATGAATTTCGAATATAAATGAGCCTGGATTATAGAGGCTAAAAAACTGTAGAATTTACAACAACTACCTAGATTGAAATATATCTAGAAACTCATGTATCGATTTCAGAGGGAGCGAGACAATCAGATTGCATAGTTGTTGATATTGATAGACAGTCTCCAATAACAGTTAGGATTAGTTTAATGGGTTGTTATCACAGGTTTGACACTAAAGACAGTATAACACACACTCACACATTATTTCCATTCCGAAACTTAACAATTGGAATCAATGGAAAGTTATCAAAATTCTCTGAAAGTTTTTAAACCTTTGCAACACTACCAAATACAGTGATATAGGATTTCTCAACGACAAACACACTCTTATGACCACCTACCTGTTTTGCACTAGGAAATCTACGATGTGTATTGAAGTGCCATCCTCCCTAGACACTGCTAAATGCAAAGCCGTGTCTGCTCGTTCCTACAACAATCACACAGAGGCTATCTTATTATCAATCTGCATTCACAGTCACAAGTACCTCAGAGTCCACCACTACGTGCACATGTCGCGGAGTCAGTAGAAGCTAGCCTGCCTGACTCAGCTGTAGCTGTAGTAGTTTTGCCCCAAAATGCCACTGTACTTGAGCAATGCAAAGAATGATGTCACACTCCCACAGAGACCCATCAGTATCCATTATTCGCCCATAACACGATACACTCGCCACACCATGCAGGGTACTGCACTTCCGCATACACCATGCGAATACCACACACGTAATGAAACTTTTGCTCACCGAATTCACAGCAGGCCAGGACCACCAACTCCACTGGTAGCATGTGCAAACATAAAGACAGGGGATCAGGAGATGGGCTCTCAATCAAACCTATAGATTTACGACTCACATATCATGCTGCACATCACTGTATCAGTCACAGATTCTTACTTACAAGAAACTGGAAACATATGTGATAATAGATGTACATAGCACGTAGATGTGGTGTCGAGTGGGCATATAAAACCCTGAAGCTTTAAATCGAGAGTACGTACACTACATGGAAAGATGCATATAAAGGACCACTAATGCATACAGATGCCTCAATCTTTCACGGCATAACTGCTGCAGAGTTTCGATGGAATTAAGAAGCTGTGACTGTAACACTGCAACCTCAACACACCACCCACCACTGTCAATCACCTTCCCCCACCACAGCAAGCCGGAGTAGATAATTTTCTTGTTAGAGAATATTGGAATGCTTTAATCCATAGGCCATCATATTACAACCTTTACATGCTTTAAAGAGGAGCTTTCGTCTCTGACCTGAGTAAGTGTGAGCTAAGCTGCATACAAACACAAAGAAAGAAAATTAGATGGCAGTTGCAGCTGCATTTCTGAGTGAGATGTTTCACGACCTTTAACTTATGAATCTTTCACACAGTAGCAATTTCTACAAATTTGCCTTGTATCACAGACTATAGTCTGGTGTTGTACACTGTGAGCAGGAGCGTAGCTAACCGATTTTGCCTGGATGGGGCAAAGCTGTGTGCGGAGTGTGTTCTGGGAAGGTGACTCCCATTGACCCTTTAATGTCTATAAATTTCTCTGGGGGCAACACCCCCTCCCCCCTGTTACCTACAGCCCTGGAGAGTTCCATGGAAACCTAAACTTAAAATATTTAAGAGCTGATGGTGCGAAGGCTCTTCTTGTGCCACTTGGCAATGTCAGTTATTACCCCACACTAGAACGGCTAGTGTAACATGAGCAAAAAAACTGATCTAGGAAATAAAATCCAGATGGCAGCACTGTTTGTCCTATGGGTATTCTATATATATGCTGATGCAAAAATCTTTACCAAAATGGAAATGGAAAGCATATTAAAAATGTGACCACTAAATTGTTTACACAAGTTGACAGATTGAAGGCGCATATAATTTCTTTGGTTGACTGTGAAAATACGGGGGCAAATCAAGTGAAAGTATTTAAATTAATAACGTTTAATTCTAGTTTCTCTCCTAGCAATCACTAACAGACTTTCTTCTACAAGCTCTGTAGAAATACACTCATGCCTATAGATAAAACGTTTTGATATTCCCTTTCCAATCGTAAAATCAGAACTGCTCCTATAAAGCTATGGGCTGTTAAAAATATCCATGTAACAAGTAGTAAACTCGGAAAAGTTCTGAAGTATTTATGAATTTTAGTGTGCTGTCTAAAATAACACAAAAACTTGAAGCCTGATCCAACCAACGGTAAGCGTAAGCAACAGCAATAGAATATTGTGCTGACTATACACCAACAGTTCTATGAAGTTTCGTTCCTGCAAAATTAGATGGCGTACCGTCTCGCTCAGGGTAACCATGAGATCCACACCCTCAGCGAATGACTGCAGCAAAGACGGCATGTCCCTTGCTAACACAGACTGGCGCAGATCCTGTGCCATGTCTTCCTCACATGTGCAGGTCTTCACACAGTAGCGTCGCTCTACGTACTTGGCATGTATGAACTTTCTCCTCTCTTCCCTGCAAGAGTTTGTATAGTGCATCTTTCCCAATACAGGTTCTAGCATGGTGGTCAATGTCCTCCTGCACACGTGCCACATTTTTCACGTGGCATCTATACCATGCATGTGCATGCGTGCATACACGTGTGAATGGGTGCATGAGTGAATATATGCACGTATGTAACGCATATGCGCATATCCATTAAGCTCATTTGTATTAAAGAACTCATGCTACCTTACCATCTGCAATGAGATTTATATGAACCATTAACATACCCAGGCCATGCTCATACAACTTAAATGGAAACTCATGAACAGCATTAGAAATTGTACATTAGTTTAGGTTACTTGAGCATCCCTACTTACATTGGACTAGTAGGTTTAGGCTTGTGAAGCTCAGGGAGTGATGCCTCCATGATTTCATTGAACATTGCATTTCCCACATATCTGGCCAGCTGCAGGAATGCAGATTCAAGATGTAATAAAAACCGCAGCTGCTATCCACCAACAAATATTTTTACTATGCATCAAATGTTTATAATGCACCAGACTCATCCTAAACGATGCCACTTACGTCACGATCCCCAATAACCATAAACTAAAAAACACCATGAGTACTTATCATTTACGTCCTGATGGAACTTACAATTGATCAGTTATTTTGGGGATCGCCTGATTCCTATAGCTCACGTCTCAGCACGGAAATTGGGTGAGTTTAGTTTATATCAGTTATAAATAAAAGATGCACCAATTGGGATATGTGTGCACTCATATAGATTATGTCATACCAGAAGTTGTGAGGTTCCAACGTGGTCCAGGTCTAGAGATTGCACACGCGACACATGCACTCCCATTTCTCTGTGCACCCCTGAGCATTCGATGCACACCAATATGCCAAAGTTCGTCGACAGCCACGTTACTCCTGCAAGTTAAAGGGACAGAAATTGCCATTTGGAAGCTGAGTAGATGAAGATGAGACAGCTGACCCAGGTCTGCTCCGAGTTGCTATAGATGCAAAAATATTGATTATTAATCTGGCAGTGTTCATCAAAATGGCAACACATGCTTTAAGCTGGCGGTCAAAACACCCTAAGCATATGCACAGTCGTGTTGTGGCATGAACTGAGAATGCCTAAGAGCAACAGTTACTGTAAATGCCAGATCCCCTTTGTCTAAAGCAATGCCTTTCTTACTTTCGTTTAATTTTGGTACATCACATGAATCTCCAGTTCGAATTGGAGGGCTCCAACAGGCATGCAATTTTAGTCTGATTTTTGAGTCTGACCTTTCGAGTCGTTAGAACTTGATGAGTATTGATGTGAGCTATCACATACCGGCAAAAGTAATTTCAATAAGAAGAGCCTATGCAGAGGAAATGCATGCACATGATTTTGATATAAATCTGCACAGAGGTAGGTAGTGTGTCGTATCCAATAAATCATTAGAGTTAAGATAGAAGACATTCTTGCACCATTTCTCTCTCTCTCACACTCTCACTCTCACTTTCTCTCTCACTCTCTCTCTCTCTCTCTCTCTCTCTCTCTCTCCCTGGCTCATGCAATCACATTTCTTGAAAACTGTGATAATACAATACATAATAATAGTTCTCGACACTGTATCTCTTTTTACCTTCTTTTGCATTGCAATCACAGCAGCGATCGTTGCCAGGTTGGTTCCTGGCAGCTTTCACAATGCTCGCCTGTAGTTCCATGAAGCTGTCGTTGGGGCCGCCACCTTTCTCGCCATGACTGAATGCTTTGTTTAGCTGCTCCTCCTTGCTGTTGATTAGCACTGACATCCACCTATATTATTCGCATAGCGATATACAAGCAGTTAGGTAAATCATGGCTGGGGTTTTTATTTTATGTTAGGTTATTTTAACTCTAGATTCTAGCATTTTTAAAGTAGTCTAAAATCAAAGCTATATTTCCTCTATAGCTTAACTGGGTGTTTTGTAGCCAAAGAAATTTCCTTGCTATATTATAGTGGCTGTTATAGCGAATGTAATGTCTCATTTTTACACATAATACTGCATTTCAAAATTGAATAAAAATGTTTGAACGCTGTAAACGTAAAGAAATGTTTCTTTAAACATTAAGTTCGATAAAATAAAAATAGCTATTTAAAAACAAGTACATACGCATCCATGTCTCCCTCAGTTTCGGCCTGGAAGTGGTAGGTTCTGTTGTCTGCAACACACCACTGATTAGTTTAGAAACTGCTTATCATATAAATCATCATGTAATCTTGATTAAAACAGGCCACCCATTGTTGTTTGACGCTAAACAAAAACGGGCAAAACGCACCTATTAATCTCTAGTAAACACTTGAAATTGAAATCGTTCATCTGTATTTACGTAATATTATACACAGAATACACGTACGTGAGACTAGATCAAAGCACCGCCTATCTTCGGGCACAGTTTTCACTTGGCATGTGAGCAGATTGAGTTTCACCGGGCTCTTTTGCTCCTGAAAACAGTTTCCAAAGCATATCACAACGACAAAACTTCTTTATTTATACAATAAATAACTCTTAGGTTTGTTGTCCATGCTTAAATTCCTGCAGAGAAGGGAATGCAGACATACAGTCATTATAATGAAACGCCTAAATAACTCAGCATAGTTGCATTAAAGTGACTTAATCAGTACAACCATATATAACTAAGTATTACCTGTGAAGAATTTATGACAATTTCGATGCTCATGGCACACTGACATAAAGTACAACACGAGCATAAATACAGAAGCTAAGGCTCATAGGGTCTATGTCCCCCAGGTTACTGACGGAACATACCCTGGGTACGGTTCGGTATACCGGAACGTACCCTGGTAACTATCTGATATGGTTAGGGTTAGGGTTAGGGTTAAGGAGTAGGCGTAAGCAACTCCCTAGACTCGTTAGTGGAGTAGGCGAGGTACGGTCCGGCATATTAGATAGTACCAGGGTACGTTCCGGTATGCCGGACCGTACCCAGGGTACGTTCCGACAGTACCCTGGGGGACATACCCTCTCAGCGAAGCTAAGCAGCAGTGTAAAAGCTATATCTGTAGCATAGCATCACCAATGAAAGTGTCAATGACACTGTAGCTCACCTTGGGTGTGATAGAAGAGGGAGGAGGGATATATAAAGCAAGAGTATATATGGGAGAACTCCCATTATATACTCTTAATAATGATATATGCATAAGTTTTGATGCGAAAATAAATGTTTCAGATCTGAAAGTCTGAAATCGTGACGGGAGATGGTGCTACGCCTAAATGATCGCCATTTTGGTTTTCGATTACCGCGCAAATAAAAACAATAAAATATTCCAGTCAAATTACTGTAACGAAGAATCTAAAACACAATATTACACGTATATAGGTATGATTGTAGAGTTGTTGAGCAGTTAGACGAACTAAACGTAATAGGACGTTGTCATCTCTCCCATAAGAGTACCAACTGTTTTGGGGCTAGCCTTACACATTCATATACCAAAATTTAACAAAATCGAATGAATCTAGATGGCCATTTTCATTTTGGCCAAAAAGTGGGCGTGGCTCAAAAGTAGTTCGACTGGCGTGCTCTAATCTAAATTTACTAAAATCTACCTAATTTGCATACTTTAAAAAATATATCAAAACCCGTGTGATATGTTTTGGGGCCAGTCCTTATTCATTCACATACCAGAAATAAGGAAAATCCGTTGAACCTGAACTGACTTATGGCCATTTCCATTTTTGCCAAAAAGTGGACGTGGCTCGAAAGTAGGTCGACTGGCGTGCTCCAAAATAGGACGTTCAAACCTCTCCCATAGGAGTAACAACTATATGCAATTTGAAACATGTGGGTAAACAGTTCAGTGTCAGTGGACAGACGGACGGACGGACGGCCGACAGACGACACCCCATGGCAATAGCTCATCTTGACGATGTCAAGGCGAGCTAAAAATGTGCCAATAGGTTTACTAATGAGTAATACCAGACCAGCACTAGCAAAATTAATATCAACATCCAGTGCCACTTTAATAATTATGCACCTACGATGAAATTCAAATCTGTCTAAATTCAATAGCCACCACATCAGTTAAAAATGGTCAAATACTACAACAAATCGGCTTGATGAAACTGCTTGACGAAACAATAATAACCCCTTCTCATTAAAATATTTTAATCTTGCCAGGGCCTAATAATATTTTAATCCTGCAAGTGATGGTTTATAACAGTAGTTTATAACAGTAGACATCATTCTACAAGCTGTAAACAGTAGGCTACAAAGTAGACAGCAGTAGAAGGCAGTGGAGAGCAGTAGACACAAGTAGATAAGAATACACAAGAGTAGACATCTGTAGGCAGCAGTAAGTGAGACTCACGTCAGAGTGGTTGATGTACAGAAAGCCATCGAGCACACTGCAGCGACGCCGCTGCCACGTCTTGCGCATCTTGCTCTCACTCTTCTTGTACAGGTAGCCGACGCGGGAGCAGCCATGCAGCTTGTTGCCCTGCAGCTGATGCAGACTATAGCCATGAGGCACTCCAGCTGGCTGGCTCTGCAAGCAGAAAGCCATCAGTCAGCCTCACTATGCTTCAATCAGGGTAGACGAGTTTACACTGGGGCCTCACCTGTTTACCGAACAGAGTGAGAACACGAGTGAAGAAGCAATGGGTTGAAGTTGCAGTTGTGTATCAGTATGCTAGAATTTTACAACTGGAATTTGATGATGATTTGGATTCGTCATTCCATGATACTCGATCTTCATACGCTTTGCACACTTCCATGGAAACTGCACGGTGGGGTGTTACATGTTTGTTATATAAACAAATGTCCTATAAACAAAATAAATCTACCTTGGCTCAGCAGAGCATTGCCAACTGTACTGGGATTATACTGTCCGAAATAAAATCTAGGTAAACAAACAGTGGTGTCCATTCTTAGCATTTGCAGCTGCAGACAGAAATACACATACGGGTGCTTATAACTGTTCGAACTCTTAACAAGAATGAATAAAATTCATGAATGAATGAATGATGTCGAGTCACATTAACTTTCCATTAAGCTGTCAATGTTTCAGAAATGCAGAATCCTTATCAGGACATTAGGAGAAACTTTTTTGCTAGCTTTATAGAAAAGCACAGAGAGAATTTCTCGCCGTACTAGTCGTTAAAAGGTTTTGTAGCATAGACAGTATAAGCTATACTCCACAAATCACCATGACCTTTTTTTTCATGCTATATTTTATTATCCTATCTGTAAACAAGAGTACTAGGCATGTCAAGCCAATATTCAATGTGCCTGATTCAATGCTGCCGACTTTAGCTTTCAAATTAAGAACCAAGGATCAAGCCAGTAAGTAGACTGACTCAAACTGCTCTTGGAAACTGAGAATTGAAGACGAACTGAGACGCATTCTGCCTACGTTCTGACATTGATTTGTTAGCAAGCTGAGGAGGCAAGTTAAGGCCACTGGGCAATCACACTGCTTCAGTGCTATGGGGCCTACGTATGTTTATAACTGAAAATCAATGTCATGCTAGACTAATTTCGTCTTTCTTTTCAAAAACGGAGAATTGAAGATCAAGTAAGATTGGCATTGGCATTAAGTTTGCAAGTCAAAAAATCAATGATCAACCTTTAGGCATGTTCTCTCATTGTGAAAACAGAAATTGGAAATTGTTTACATAGTTGTTCTACATATTATGTGGATTACAGGGTCCAGTAACAGGTAACACTTGGACACACAATTGTTTGATGGTGACTACGTACACACACTGAGTGGTCAAAAGTGCAATTTTGGATAGGATGAATGGGCTCTCCTCCACAACAGCCAATAACCTAATCCTACAAAGGCTACAGAGCTTCTAAACTATTTCTTTATATTCGCTTGACAAATCACGAGTTCAGATAAAAAAAGAAACGTTGCTTTTCTTTCTCTCCGTAAACAAGCTTTGTAGATCACAAGTTAAACCGGCAAACAGCACAAAGGATATTTGGTTTCCAATTCTTCTCAATAAATAAGCTTTACCTATCAAAAGTTAAATACCCCTAAAAGTGACATCACAAAGTACACAGGGTTACCATCTCTATATAGCAAAATATTTATTGGCCTCTCAGGCTAGTTTCGGCTTAGCTGGTATAGCTGGCATTAGCTGCAGCCTTACCTAATACATGTCATTTTCAAATCTTCATGTATATTTTTTTGCGGTCTCATCCCATCACGTCGATTGGTGTAATAATTTGATTACAAGGTGCCATAATTTTCAGCACTAGGTAAAAATTTCAAAACCGAACAAGTTTCCAATGCTAGGTCAAATATCCACAGCAGCAAAAGAAATTCCAATTTTTGGTTGGTTAAAACTATTACTACGTCGAGGTAGATGAATAAAATGTTCTACATGCGGGTATAAATAAAGAAATTGATATAAACAACTTAGATTTGGTCGAAATCGTGTTTTGCGCTTTCATGGTTACAATCATGACACTGTGACATGTAATCGAAATCGTGTCACTCACACCTAAACCGTGCAAGCCGACGGGTACATTACCTCTTTGTCGAGTGATGACACGGCTTTGAGCAGAGTCCTGAGATCGGTCAGTTGCTTTTTCTCCTCGTCCTGCCGCAGCTTGATCACGGTGAGAGTGTTCGACAGGTCGCTGATGTACGAGCTAAAGTGCTCGATCGTCTTCAACCCATCCTGGAAGAAGCTGAAACAAGCAAACGGCAGCATGCTGGCAGAGGGCCACTGATCTCACGATGCACTGGGTAAGATGTGTACCAGCAGCAGCATGGACACTGTGATGTCGGGCTGATCTCGCGTACAGCATTAACTTCGTAATATACGCACAAGATTGAACAGGAGACTAATGATTGCCCTTGACAGGCACTACATTGCCCTTGCCAGTCATGATTACGTTTAATTGGGCCCCATAGGATAACTCGAATAGCCGCGTAAAAATTCCATTATTAAACACGATGCTTGCAGCTGTTATGAAGAGGTACGGTGGTGACATTGCACTAAACTTCATCAGTGAAAGGTACCATTAGATTAATGAACCCACATTTGATGAATAGCAAAAACTCGACATTTTAATCGACATTTTTCGGCATTAAAATCCTCAACAAATTATTCAGTCGAACTGTACTGTGAAAAACATGTGAGCCAAATAATCAAATAATCAACTCATCATTAATCACCACTCACAATAATTTACAGTTCTTTAACTTTTTAATTTGGCAGCACAAAAGGGTTATTTGAAAATCTTCTACAGGCAAAACAATGAGACACTTGACCCACACTTATCGCGTGCCTCAGGCAACCTAATATCTGCCAAATTCACATCCATATCTTGTAAATACATGTAGTATGGGTTCGCCGAAGGATTTGTTATTCTAGCTCCATCACAGATTTAAGATGAAGCCATGCATGTGGTAGCTGGCTATGTAAACACAACTCACTTGTTTTGGGCATGGTAGTATTCCACGAGATGTTGCAACAGCTCCACGCCTTTCTTTGTCTTCACTTCGTTCACTTTGATCAAGTACTAAATTTAAGAGAAAATTTCATGCATTAAATAACGCAAACACCTCTCGTAATTTCATTGCGAGTCAGATTGAAAAATAAATTCTCATTATATAACTGCACCTGATAAATCATGCAGCTGGCTGTGACCTGCGAATAATTCAGTTACGTGTCCGATTTAGAATGTGCAGTGGTGACAGATCGCGCCTTTACCAGAGAGTGTCTATTATCGTTTTCAGAGCATGTCAGAAAATCGAATTGAAAAGCATGTGGCTGTTTGTAATGCAATGTAGATTCATGGAAATTTAGTGGTCCATAAATAATTTTCTAGAATCGCACGACTATCACAGCTTTTCACCTAAATCGCATAACACCAGAACGAATACAGATCTCTGTGCATCAAACGCTAGATGCGCATAATCGGCTTTGGATAACACTTGCCATTGAAACCACTCCACCAAAGTATGTAATGCCGCGCGCGCTGCACGATCGATTGCAAATTTTCATACTAGACCGCCTGCATGGAATTGCAATACACACTGCTTACATAATCGCCAACAGGGAAGCACTCTCGAACGCGGCTTGCAATTATTATGCCCTTCCCATTCCCATTCAGACTTCAAAGATGCGCCCACGTACAGTCGGCATCACACACAGTTATGTATATAATAATGAGCGCCATTAATAGTGAGAGTCTTCGGTATTACCCTTGGGGTCGCTAGACCGTCCGGCCAATAACACGAGCCGCGTGCACACATCGTATGCAAATATATCCCCGACGTGCTACTACATACTGCACGGGGCAAACCACGCCACAGCGCGCGAGCGGAATATGCAAACCCCGCAGCGAACAGAAGGCAGCAACCAACAGCCTCTGTCTAGGATCGATAGAAGCCACGCTAGGCTCTGTAAATATTTCCGTTGGTCGGCTCGAGCAGCCACTATGCAAAGGTGCTGCTTTCGTTGACAGATGATGACCAGCTGTTAGGTAGGCTCCCAATGCACTTACGGTGTCGCTGCACCCACCTGACGTCGCTCGCTCACCGCCAGCACACTGGGCCAAAATTAGGCTCTTCTCCCCAATTAAAAATATTAATCGGCAGCTGCAGAAGTAGTTAGCGGAGGCTCGATCGCTCAGGCCAGAATCTACGAGTGGGCTGCTTATAAAATTACGTTAATTACTTAGCCCAGCTGCCACAGCTGCTAGCCCAAGACATTGGGCATAAATACTCGCCGGGGATTTATAAACTTTATCACGAACGTTTTATATAATTGTAAGAAGCGGCCAGAACCGAACCATAGACTCACCCATCGATGCGAGTTCGTAGGTATGTATGTATGTAGGTAGGTAGGTAGGTAGGTAGGTAGATGGGTAGGTAGGTAGGTAGGTAGGTAGGTAGGTAGGCAGACAGGCAGGCAATCAGACAGACAGGTAGGTACGAAAGGAGGTAGGTATAGGTAGGTAGGTAGGTAGGCAGGCAGGCAGGCAGGCAGGCAGACAGGCAGACAGACAGACAGGTAGGAAGACAGGTAAGTAGGAATATAGGCAGATAGGTAGGTAGGTAGGTAAGTAGGAATATAGGTAGATAGGTAGGTAGGTAGGTAGGTAGGTAGGTAGGTAGGCAGGTAGATAGGTAGGTAGGCAGGCGGGCAGGCAGGCAGGCAGGCAGGCAGGTAGATAGGTAGGTAGGTAGGTAGATTGGTAGGTAGGTAGGTATGTAGGTAGCTACGTCGGTAGGTAGGTAGGTAGGTAGGTAGGTAGGTAGGTAGGTAGGTAGGTAGGTAGGTAGGTAGGTAGGTAGGTAGGTATGTAGGTAGGTAGGTAAGTAGGTGGGTGGGTTTGTGGGTTGGTAGGTTGGTAGGTAGGTAGGTAGGTAGGTGGTAGGTAGGTAGGTAGGTAGGTAGGTAGGTAGTAAGTAGGTAGGTAAGGTAGGTTAGGTAATAGGTAGTAGTAGTAGGTAACATAGGTAGTAGGTGTGGCGGGCAGACAGACCAGATCAGACAGGGTCAGGCAGGCAGGCAGGCAACACGACAGGCAGGCCGCAGGCAGGCATGCCAGGCACGGCGGGCAGGCAGCAGGCAGGCAGAGACAAGACAGACGAGACAGACAGCAGACGAACGACAGGCGATTAGGCAGGCCAGCCCAGCAGGCCAGGCTGACAGACCGACAAGAACAGACAGACAGACAGACAGACAGACAGACAGACAGACAGACAGGCAGACAGGCAGACAGGCAGGCAGGCAGACAGACAGGCAAGCAGGCAGGCAGGCAGGCAGGCAGGCAGGCAGGCAGGCAGGCAGGCGGGCAGGCATGCAGACAGACAGGCAGGCAGGCGGGCAGGCATGCAGACAGACAGCCAGACAGACAGGTAAGGTAGGTTACACACACCCTTCTCTCGGCCAAGAACAAATGCGCTCAAATTGAGCGCACTTTTTTCTGAAGGCTTTCCAAGCCAGAGAACCCGCTGACAGGCATGAGTGAAATGTTACGAAATTTTTGCCACGCTCTTGCCCTGGAAGAGCCAGCGCAGCGCAAGCAATTTTTTAGAATCTCTGTTGGACAAACTCGAATCAATAACCCGAGCCATTTGGGTTAATGCTACTCTGCATTAAACGCTCGAAATGCTACTCAACGCTCCCACCCTCGAGCGGCACTGTGGCGTCATACATTCTGGGTGGTTTTAATAATGTTGCCTTTGTTAAACTACACTAATGCGCCGTTAAAGTAGTTTCGCCCATGTAGCGTACCAAATGCACTCTGTCACCGTTACGACGGCACCCTACAAAGAACATCGGCAGCATATTTTAAATAACATGCCAACGGCTGTTGGTACGCTGTGATTACGTCCCAGCCCATATAATGATGCTGCTACAGCAGAACATTGGGCTTCATCGTCATTAAGTAAGCTTGCTAGTACATCCGTGGCAGCGGCGATTCAGGCGTATCTTAAACAAAGGCAAGTTTCACATCCGCAGATTTGTCATCATTGGACGCTATGGATTTTTCACAATCGATAGTGTGCTTTATAGAGCTTCTAAGCACGTGAATTGCTCAAATTGTAATAAAAAACACCAAATTTGACACACGTGTACTTTGGGAAGTTCTTAATAAAATAATAGGTAGAGCCAAACGAAACCGGCATTTTAAAGGCGAGTGGCAACCTTTATTCAAAATGGCAGAAAAATATAGAGGAAGTCGAACGCAAGTAAGAGGATGACAAGTCACATCGAGACCAGCACGCCTACGCTCAGTTATCTTCTTATGGTTTCTGTGAGACAACAGGAGTCCGAGGGTCACCTGCCTACTGGCTACTTATGACAAGTACACACAGAGTGACGCAGTACGTTATATGTGTGTTATACCTTAATAGAGTAACAGCCGTCACAGACTTCCCTTTTCCTTACATAAATAAAATGATACAACTTACGCGAGATGTTCGAATATCGGCCACTGAATATGCAAATTACTACGTAAATTTACATACAATTTTTTTTAAATTTAAATAATTTAAATAAACATGAAATAATTTCAAAATTTAATAAACATACAATGGATCTTTTTGCATTTCTATTTAAGCATAACGCGCAGTATATATACACGTCGATTAATTGGAATGGTATTTTGGCACGTCCTAGCTACGTCGCCTACACGCCGCCGACTGTTGGTCACGGACATCAAACGTGTACCACCTGCATTAGACGTGCTTCTGTATCATCACTCTTATTCATCGTCTCCTCGTGACGACACCTATCGTTTGTTTTCAGCGCACGTCCCATGTGAACCGGCACCGGCAGAGTGAGACGCTACATATCGTTTCTGTACAGCACACGCGCGTGCAGGAAGGGTCGCGTAGGGGAGCAGTAAGACCTACCTCACACATGTGCAGCTGAAACATCCGTCTTTCCTTCTCCATTTCCTCTGCTAGCTGCAACACACACACACGCGCACAGATAAACATGGAGAGGAGAGACGCACTGCGGATATGAACGCGCGCGCGACGCTGACATAAATGTCAACAGACAGGAACGAAATTTCCTGCGACTCGTGACAAGAGCATGCGAATGCAGCCATAGGCACTTGGAGCGTTTCAATAAAATATAATGCTAAATATATACGAAATCTATTTACTACCAAAGTCTTAATGTTTCTCTACTCTCTTTCACCTATTATTGCCGACAATTTCCTGTAAATGCTGTCCAAATGCTCATCTGCAACACACTGTCACACGCTGGCCGCCGCACGCTAGCTGCTGCACACTGACACATAAATATATAGTTTATGTGTCAGTGTGCAGCAGCTAGCGTGCGGTGTACTTGTGTGTTGCAGATGAGCATTTGACCGGCATTTACAGGTGATTATAGGCGAAATAGAGTAGAGAAACATTAAGACTTTAGTAGTAAATACATTTCGTGTTTATTTACTTTTTTTTTTTATTGAGACGTTCTAAGTGCCTGCGAATGCAGCCAAATACTATACGATACGCGTGGATTTGCATTGCAATCTCTCTGCATCACCTTGCTATGGGCATTCATAGCGGTGCCTAAGATAGGAAATGAAGCGCCTCTGAGCGTGAAAGAAAAATAAGGCCTACATGATGGCCGTGATAACCACAACTGTTATTTACACAGATGCAAAAAAAAACAAAAAAACAAAAACATCACAATAATACCACACTATTGCCCTGTCACACAGCCGATTGTATATGCAGATGTCCAGCACAGCTTTGATATACGTAAGCATAATTGTTGGACAATTAAGTCAACAATAGCTCAACTGTTTGATGTCACCATACGTGTCACCCTGCACCAGGAGAGCTCACAATTTCACCGTGAGACTTAATATGTTTTAGCAATAACTGCCAATGTAAACATTAAATGTTAAACGTTCTTCTAATCGCAACTGTTTTTCTCATAGCTATGGAGAAACGGAATTTAATCAATATGGCTGCTAGTATAAACGAATCTGAATAAGATCATTTGGATCTGTATGGACATAGACGATGAGATTACAAATATAAGAGCCTCGCCTCTTACAACGTAGGGGAAATGGTTATAAGTCACGACAGTGAAATATATAACTATTAACCATATCTGTTGCTTATCTATGCAATTTTGCAGGAGTTTAACCCACTTCTCTCCCATGCAATTAAATGGAAGGAATTCCAACCCATAGTCATTTACTACATGTAATAAGCTTCACGTTACATTTCCCTATGATTCATCAAGATGGGAAGATGCTTGCTGTGTGAATTGGTCCCGATTCAGTTTGTGAATCCATCCATTCCCGGGGAAAAATTATGCTGATCACAACTCAACTCGCACGCGGCATGCATTAAAGCTACCTATTTATGTGTTCACAACTCCAAAACCTGACACTTCTAGCAAAAAAGCATTACATATTTACTAACCGGCTCAATAAATACTTGCCTAACGATTTTCTGATACGATTCTATGGCAAGATGAGTCGCTTTATATACATTTATAGGCATCATCTTTGTCTTCCCAGCAGCATATTAACTTTTACAGTATTCACACTACGTTTCTAACAGAAACCATTCAACAATTATTGATTTGAGATTATGATGGTAATAGTTGGGCAGCGTGGCATTGACTGATATAGCGATAGCATGGGGGGTCTCCGGCCAGAGCCTCGTGAAATGCTTGGAACAATAATATAATCAGGAGTGGATAATACAGATCTCTATATTATCCACTCCTGATATAATCTATGCAGCAGGATATCACCCGTTCTGACTATGTGTATGCACTAGCTGCTGAATCTCAATTCGAACGGAAATGTTGCCATCAAAAGTAGGAGAAAAATTTCAAACCAAAACAGTTGATTTTATTGAATTAGACACTGTGGAAAACTGGATTCAAAGACTTTAAACTTTAAAGTCTAGACAACATGTACCTTATAATTATCCTTATGCCTTAGTCCACACCCACACTTTTTCCATCCACACTCATCGGCCCCACTGCATGCTCGCTACCCCAATCACTTACCTCAGCAGGTGTGAACTCAGTTCGGATTAATCCCGCCTCCTTTGCCTGCTGCGTTTTCTCCTTTTTCAACTTCGTCCTGTACAAAAAAACAAAGCAAAAAACGTGGAAGCCTCTGCAGCTGTCCTCCAGCCGTCACGCAAGAGAGACCGCAATCACGTAATCGTGGATATAAACCACACTATATAATACTCTAACTCTACACTAACATGTGCACTGCAGCATTGCAGAATGAGGGCATTCTCAGCGGGACTTCATTGCAATATGCCTGCAAGCTCCCTTCCTAAGCAAGGTTGAAAATTATAATCAAGTTAAACAGAGAGCTGTAATTTATTTATGCTGCTGGTTAAACTAATATAGCAGTGCACCAATGTACGTAGTACCGACACAGCATCATCTCCAGGGATAAACATACTCACACTTTAGCATCGTAGTCCTTCCAAGCCTTGTCAAATGGCTTCTTCAGATCCTGTTATTCGTGTAAAAACCGATTTAATATACTGTATATATATATATATATATATATATATATATATATATATATATATATATATATA